TACGTTGTTTGGTTGTTCGTCTACGTACCACTACTACCTACCGTACGGACGACACTACTACTTGTTCTACTTACTTTATTATTAGTTGTGTTAGTATGTATATATATATATATATATATATATATATATATATATATATTTACATGGTTAGGATCACTATACTGGCACAGTTCTTTCCCACTTGGATGTGCTCCTCTCTTTTTCCACCCTTATCTACTACACATTTCACGGATGGGTGAAGAGTATACCTGGTTCAGAAGTGGTGTGGTTTCCCTCATCAGGTCTTTGGATCTGACTCATTTCCAGGGGTATTTCTGCCATTCTCTTGCACCAGTCTCGACACCTAATCAATGTGGGATTCTAGCTAATCATGTGAGTGGAGGGAAGTACTGTATTGGAAGTTATAGTTTTCTTATACTGAAAATGTATTTCTGATAGGTACTTCCCTCCGCTCACACTTCCCACCCTTCCTTACCACTTTCCTTCGGTGCTTATGTCTTCTTCCAAACCTCAAAGTGATAGTTTGGTAGAGGTGTATAGAGGGAGTCTATTTATTGGCATTATACTAAGACTCATTATCAATATGTTTGGTGCCACATCTTGTTTCTTATGATGGCTCTTTATGAGGTGGATGTGGACAGAGGGCTAGTTATGATGACCCTCATGATCACACTCTTAACAGTAATTTATATCTTCCATAATCCTATGTATTGAAGGCACTTCCCCTGGATGGACCACACTTGGCATAATCCAATGTAACCCAAGGCACTTTCCTTGGCATACACACATAAAGGAAAATGGTTGCATACACATGAGCCCTTCCATGTTTGTCAACACCATACTGATTCATGTCATAGTTATGCAGCATTTTCTACAATGATTCAGTGCTGTATGTCTCTTTATTGACTTCAATTGTGCCTGTAAATTTAGTTCTGCCCCAATTGTGATACTGTGTTGATTGCTAGGCAAAGAGCATACCTGTTACAGAAGTAGTGCTGTACCCACTGGTGTGCTTTCTGGTTTGCACAACCATTCTTTCAGTGTGGTCTCTTTATGCTTTATTTGAGATTGATGTGCCTTCACCAGCCACCCCATCTTGACAATATGGGATTCTGGTTTTGGATGAGTGGAGGTAGTACTGTTTCAGAAGTTAACATTTTTCTTACTGTGAAAATGTATTTCCGATTGGAACTTACCTCTTGTCACCCACTGAGATGCCAGTGTTTATGGTTTATGCCTACCAATTCTCGAAAGTGAGGATTGTTTTAGAAGAGTAGAGGGAGCTAGCTGTGCCAGTATAGATGACACAATACAATTGGTGGAGAGTAATCACATGATCAGCACATTCTGAAATGGCACAAAACAGATGGGGTATAAAGACTAATGCACTGTAGCAAAATTTTTTTAGCATTGCTTAGAGGGCAGACCAGGATTGAGATAGCTTTGATTGTAGTGAGGTAAGTACCTATCAGAAATACATTTTCAGAGTAAGAAAATGGTAACTTTTGTAAGTTATGAAAGTTTTAAGATACTTATTTGATATTAGTATTACAGTGGTTGCTGAAAAAGATTACATGTTGTTTTAAAGTGAGAACTGGACTTGTCTTATGTGTCTGGATGTAAAAAATTCAACTTTACCAAAGGGATATACAGGAACAAAAAGGAAAGCTACAGTTGGCCTGAATGGACGAGGATTGCTGGTGAGTCATTTTTATAATCTATTATGATAAGCTGTTTTTGTCTGTCCTGAAAATGCATGCACATCTTATTATTTAAATAGGCATGCACACACACTTCATTTCATCATATGTAAACAAAAGGGAAATGTAAATATACTGTTCCGAGGAACTTCAGCGATACAAGTCCCTTTTTGATTAAAACTAGTTTATTCTTTCTCGATACAACTTTGTAATACACAGTAATTTCACAATCAATACGTTTCTCGTCTCTTTACTTACAACTCCTATAATACACAGTGATGCGAGTTCTTTCTTAATTAAAACTAATTTATTCTTTCTCGATACAAAGTTGTAATACACAGAATTTTCACAGTCACTTTAAACTTAACTATTTTTATAAACACATGTCACACACTTTACTTACGGTGCCTACTGTTCGCTTGACTCAATTATCTATCTGCCTATTGCTTGTCTCTCTGCCAGGCATATATATTAAAAACAGGGCATCTTGATCAGACTAGAGTTGCCGGACAAATTCATGATCCTTTGAGAAACTCCAGGGCGCATGCTCCCAGTATCACGTGACTTACGCTGTCGTAATAATACTTTAGTAGATATGTTCTAAAAAGTTCTAACGTTAGGTCGTAGAACAACATTGTAAGTTTATTGATTGATAGTATTAAGTATAGTAAAGTGTAGCTGTAACTGAAATAAAGCAAAAAACATAATTTATCTTTTTACTAAATATAGGCTATATGTAATAAATGCTTTGTAACTAATGTTAGGCCTAACAAAAGTGAAGGACTTATAGATTTTAGCATGTGTGATAAGAATTCTTTTGTATTATTCTAGAAATACTGTACTTAAAGAAGTACTGTTGCAATAAAGATACTAATTTGACTGCAACTGTTTTGCAAATCTCTGCTAGTTCTGACAATGAAATATGAAACTTTGACTTCACTTTCCCTGCAGAGTTGATCTGCTTTAGCTGATAACTAGAACATTCAGTGTGTTTTCTTGTATTTTCCAGTGCTGTGAGAGAATTCTTCTAGAACTGCTTTGCCATGATTCAAGCTCACCATTTCACCAACCTGTTAGCAGAGCTGTAAGTTTTACATTTAATTTCACTCAATTCTGTGAATCCATTTAACTTGTTTATATTGTGTTTAGCTCTGCTGTAAGTGAGACAAAAACATAGGTATATGATTGAGGTTGAGCTAACCTTGACATTTAACCTATGATATTAGCACCACACACTTATTCACACACACACACACACAGCCAGAATATGATTATTTGAATGTCTGTACTGGATATTTTTTGCTCTGATGGACTGCACTTGGCATAATCCAATATAACCCAAGGCACTTTCCCCGGATATTTTTTGCCTGGGTAGACCACACTTGGCATAATCCTAGGTATCCCAGATGCTTCCCCCCTGGGTGTTGCCTGGATGGATCACATTTGTTGATTTCTATATCTTATGTGAGGCATAACTGTAAGCAGTTCGATATAGTATCAAAGAGCCAGCATGGTTTCACTGAGGGAAAATCTTGTTTAACAAATCTTCTGACATTCTTTGAGGATGTTACTGCAAGAGTTGATGATAGAAATATTGTAGATTTGGTTTATCTTGATTTTCAGAAAGTGTTTGATAAGGTGCCTCACAAAAGACTTGTTACAAACATTAAATCTGTGGGTGTGGAGTAAATGTTATCAAATTGGATAGAAAATTGGCTGGAGAGTAGAAAAAAGAGAGAGTAGCAATAAATGGAGTTAGATCTGACTAGATCACATTTACAAGCAGTGCACCTCAGGGCTGTGTGCTGGGTTCTCTTCTGATTTATATTATTGATATTAACTCTGGAATGACTAACAAATTGTTTAAGTATGCAGATGACATTAAGACTTTTGGGGTGGCTAACTGTATCAAAGATGCTGCATACTTATAAGTAGATTTAGATCATTTGATGCATTGGGCCAATACAAGGCAGATAATGTTTAATTATCCAAAATGTAAGGTGTTGCATGTAGGTTTTCACAATTCATATTGTTGTTACAATTTAAATGGGAATACATTAAATACAATGGCTGAAGAAAAAGTTCTTGGTGCTGTGATCGAAAAATCACTTAAGTCATCTAAACAATGTTTTGTAGCTAGCAATAGGGCTAATAGGATTTTAGGTAGGATCTACAGAAATATTCAATACAAGACAAGGGATATTATTGTTTCACTGTATAGATCACTTGTAAGGCCTCATTTAGAGTACTGTGTACAGTTTTGGGCTCCCTTCCTCAAGAATGACATTGAATTGTTGGTGAAGATTCAGAGAAAAGCCACTAGGATTATACCTGGGATTGTCCTATGAGGGAAGACTAAAATCTCTAAACGTGTTTTCTCTGGAGAGGAGAAGAGTCAGAGGGGATTTGATTGAGGTGTTTAAGATTATTAAATGTATTGATAATATAGATCCATCAAACTTTTTTGTGTTTAGCAGTGAAAATAACAGGACAATGGGTCATAAATTCAAATTTTGGCAGTGTAGGAGTCGTCTGCAGTTTAGACAGCATTACTTTTCAAACAGGGTGGTTGGCTTTTGGAATGAGCTGCTTTCAAGGGTGGAGGAGGCAGAAAATTTGAGTTCAAGAAAAGATTGGATGAATACATGAGCAATAAGGGGTGGTTATAGTCGGGAGCTGGAAGTGACATCCTTGATGGGCTAATAAGTTATTTTTTGTTTCTTTAAAATTTTATGAATTTTTTTTTATGAACAGTAGTATTAGTATTATACATATATGAAAATAGGTTGGTGATAACTGGTTATTGAAATTAATGTTAAAGATGAGAAATATTGGTTCTGTTATTCATATAAAATTACTTTAGTATAACGAAAAATCATGTTATTTTGAAATATCTTCCATTTTAACAAAAATCTCTGCAGTAGGTAACTTTAAAGGAAGTATAACACATACATTAGATGGGAATTAGTTTCTATGTTAATCTTGCTTATTTTAAGGTCTAAGAGTTACTATGCTCTACGTTTTAATAATTCCATTTTATTACTGCCATGTAATGAAAAATTTAACTTTCTAATCAGGCAGAAAACTGGCTGGTATTAGTAATTTCACAAAATAACATGTAGCAACTAGCCTAAATATCGACTCTTTTAACACTGTTATCAGTATGTAAAATAAACTGTCAACTGACAGCCTCCAAAGATGGGACAACCATCTAAATATATTTCACATTCACCTTGATTTGTTACACCAATTCACTAAATTCAATTGCACCTAATGTCTCGGATTAGGCAAGATAAGGTGGTTGTATCATTTAATGTTCTAGCTATTTACCAGCAGTTTTATTTTCATATGACATGTGATTTTTTTTATGTTTGGTAGTTTCCAAACCCAGGCTGATTTTCTCAGAATCTGCCCATGACTCACTTAAATGTCTGATAAAACCCATAAATGTAACCTCTAATCAGTTAACAATACTTTTATGTTAAGAAAAAGATAAAGTAATGATAATTTAACTGAAGAATGTTTTAAAAAAACTTCATTTAGACTATGTTACATGTCACTAATCACTTCTAAGGTTTCTGGACAGAAAATTAGAGAAAGGCTTGTTTCAGATTTCAAATGAATGAAATGCATAAGTGTATGTGTAGGATGTTATGTTTTATTGTTTTTTTAATATTAGGTTCCCAATTACTACAAAGTTATCACAAAACCAATGGACCTGATGACTGTCAAACAGAAGTTATCACCAACTCATTTCAGCCATTATCAGGATGAAGAAGAATTCATATCTGATCTTAGACTGATATTTATCAACTGTTGTACATTTAATCCTGTAAGTCAACTCATTCTTATCTGTTAGTCTTGATAAATAAGAGTTTACTGTTACATGAGTAAAGTTTTTAATCAGATTACACAACATTTTGTTGGAGGACAGAACAGCTTATAAAAGTATAACATTGCAAGATTCGTGATTTGTACCTTTTTAGTTGTTGAGAACAACTTGGAAAATAGGTATGAATATGTGCATGTGCAATAGGAAGTAGTTTGACTCATGATTTGTACTATTGTAGTTATTGAGAGCAACTCTGGGAAATACACATAAATATGTGTGTGTGTGTGTAACAATTCCTGAAACTTATTGCACTAACACATCTTCCACATTTCTTCCAGGGGAAGATACTATCATCTTTACAATCTTCAGGCCTCCAAAGAATCTTTGGAACTTGTTTTTCAGAAGCTTAACCTTTAAAATATGTATAGTTGCTCTGAAAGCATGTAACAGCCTGTTTTTTAATGCATCAGCCTGCCCAAACTGTATATTCACAGAAAAAGAACCTCTTTCTATTCATTAAAAATATGAAATTCAGTTTTTAGATGTAGCTGTCTTAAATGTGTCCTAAGGCAAACACTCATTTTGTCCAATGACACATGAATATTCTCAGTTAAATAGTAGGAATAACTATTATGAGTTGTTACGTAGAAGGTGAGAAACAACCGTGTTTGAAATATACACCATTAATGGTTTTAGTTATAATATAGTACTTTCAAAACAGAGATTTAACTAAATTAGCATATATTTCAGCCTGTAATTTGTCAAATTTAGATTTTATTTTTTAAATGTTGGTAGCAGCAGACACTGCTGAGAGGCCTGTTGTGGGTGAAAAAGGGAAAAAATAAAACTAATATATTGGTTCCTCTGCTGTTTGTGATTTATATTAATGATATTAACTCTGGAATGACTTACTAAATTTTGAAGTTTGCAGATGACATTAAGATTTTGGGGGTGGCTAACTGTATTAAAGATGCTGCAGACTTACATCATTTGATGCATTGGGCCAATACTTGGCAGGTGATGTTTAACTATTCAGAATATAAGGTGATGTATGCTGGTTTTCACAGATCAAGTCATCTAAACAATGTATTGCAGCTATCAATAGGGCTAATAGGATTTTAGGTAGCATCTACAGAAATATTGAATACAAGACAAGGGATATTACTGTTTGACTGTATAGATCACTTGTAAGGCCTCATTTAGAGTACTGTATACAGTTTTGGGCTCCCTTCCTCAAGAAGGACATTGAATTGTTGGAGAAGGTTCAGAGAAGACTCACTAGGATGATACCTGGGATGGTGGAATCATCCTATAAGGAGAGACTAAAATCTCTAAACTTGTTTTCTCTGGAGAGTAGAAGGGTCAGAGTGGATTTGTTTGAGATGTTTAAGATTATTAAGGGTATTGATAATATAGA